GCGCGGCATGCTCCATTGGGATTAAAAAAAAAAAAAAACACTTAAAACGATCACCTCAAGCCAATAACTGCCCAGGTACCACACCTACTATGAACAGTTCCGATGGATGAGAGGAGGAAATTCTGCTGGCTATTAGCTTGGAGTGACTTGTCAGCTGTGTCTAGGGCACTCAGCAATGACGCCCAGCCAGCAGGCGTTGCACCTTCAGCTGCAGTCCTGGAGCAGCTGCTGTCCTTCTCCCTATGGAAGTGTTAATCAGCAACAGTTGCCGACAGCAGCCATCACAGTCCTACTTTTGGATCAAAAGTTTCTAGAGTTTCATAAACAGGTTCGTTCTCTGCCCACAGCAAAGTGGAAAGGAGAAAGTGGGTTAGGGAAGCACCCTGTTGGTCCTTTCCAGTACAAGCAGAATGATGCCAGAAACCCCTCAGCTTCCATGACATCACAGAGTTTCCTTCTGAATCTCCTCCTCTTCCTCCTGCTGGGGCCAGAGTTTACGCAGTATTTTTAAATCAGCAAGTAATCATGCCAGCTTATTCAGACCTTCAGTCTTCCATAGATGGATGCCCAACAGTGCCTATGTGTAAACATTATGCTTATATATAGACATTGTTGACCCATGTGCACTTAGTGTTTGTATTTAACCAATGGAGTTATATTTGTTGGAAATACTTTTTTGCACTCCAAAATCCATAGTTTATAACCTTTCCTTCCAAGGTTTCATTTCGAGACACATGACACCCTCCAACCCCCACCAATGTGAATCCGATCCTCCTGTGAACACAGATTCCACAGCCTAATTTGAGAAGTGACAGTTTATCCCCTTCAATCCTAGACCGCATGGCCACATGGTGTTACCCTCTCTACTGTCTTGCATGTTACCAGGTTTCTCATCTTTTCGCATTTTTCTGCATTTGAACGCAGATTTTTTTCCCCATCTAGTCTCTTGGATGTTTTGTCGTTAAGTAAACGAGTTATGGAAAATGTAGACAAAGTTCACAGGTTCACTTTCTTTCACCATCATTTCTGTCATAAATCCACAAAGACGAGCTTCCTTCAAATGCTCACTTCCCAGTCTTAAATCACAAGTGGAACCAGAGCATGTGAGTTTAAATCAAATATGTCCAACATTGCCATCAGCATTTTGTTCCCTTGGGTCACGGTCGTCTTCAGAACCAAAAAGAAAGAGAAAGACGATGATAAAGACTAGTTCTGTTCTGGGTACTGTTCTGTAGCCTTTAGAGATGATTGTAATAAGATGGATATGTCTTAAACTGAAAAATCTTAATAGAAAGCCCTGAACATCTTCTTCACGATCCGGAAACAGAGATTCTTTATTCTGAAACTTCTTCAGATCTGGTGATTTGTAGACCACTACAACTGACCCTTCTTGGGGATTACCAAAGAATCCAAGATGGCACAGGTTTGATGTGGAACACTGAAGATAATGAGAAGTCAGAGCTCTCCCATACTTCATCCAGAGGGTCAAAATCAGCTTTGATAGATATTCGCCTCCGCATTTCAACACAATGCCTGAGTCAAACTACTTCACACAGAGCTCTGATTGGCAATAAGTTGTGGAAATGTTTTATGTATACATGCTCTCTATCATTATCATTTAGCTTCAATCAGTCCGTTTTCCCTCTCCAGGCAGGGGTGTGACGTATATGAAAACGGGAGGGGTGTGGACTGGTAATGAAAAGAGCGCTTCAACTGTTCAGCTTGGAATGAAGTACAGGAGAGGCTTAAGACTCAATGGAGGAGCTTGTCACTTCCCAAAATGAGAAAGGAGTGAAGTAATGGCTCTAGGTGTTAAAATCTGGCCTTGTTCCTCAGAAGATGGACTCCCAGTTCAGGTTCTCCTACAGCAAGACACAAAACAGCTTCATGTCTAATTATTTTAGCATCCCTTAGAAATATAACACAAAATGTGGAATACCAACCCACTGGATTTAGAAAAATCTGCTTACAGTGTCGTTAGCTTCTTGCTGTCCTACTGTTAATAGTAGCTTAATATAACTAAACCCCAGGCTTTTGGGTCCTGCACTTTGCTTAACAAATAGTGCTCTGCACTTTTAGCACTATACTTTAGTTGACAATGAGCACTACCTTAATAAAACTAATGTTCAGATTCCAGGGCATGGACTTCCAAGAAGCCAGTTGTCTTTCTGTAAGCAAGAGAAATGAGTGATGGGAGTTGTTGCAGGGGTGAACTGCAACAACTGCAGCTCTGCTCCGTTCTCTCCGGTCTCTCTGGAACTTTCCTTGGCAATTGTTACGAATCCTGTTAAACTGTTAGAGTGCTATTACACAGATAAATATTTAATATTTTTGAAACGGCAACTTTTTAAACTCGTGGTATACCTTGAGACATGTATTTGGCAAATGCCTGCTATAATTTTGTTTCTAGATGTGCACAAAACCTACAGAAACACAGTTCTGCTTTGTAAATTTAGTACTTTGCATTCAATGCTGTGAATTTTAATGGCTAATGTTTCAGCTGCACGCTGTGCTGCTCTCCTCCACAGGGACAGCTGTCAGAGGATATTTGAGCCCAGTGCACAGAACAGGTCACAGGACCCGGACAGATAGAGAGCTGCACTGGTCAATATAGTTTTCAATGGAATATATACGGTGGGTGAGGGATGACAATGTGTTGAGTAAAGTTTTTACCTTTAAGAACTTTAAATATTTTTAAAAAGTGATAAAATATTTTTTAAAGGTCAGAACTGAAGTGAGAACTTGATACATTTCACATCTGGTTCAGAATTTGATGTCAGCACAGTGTCTTTGATTTTTGACAATTAAAGTAAATATAACCATGAGTATATGTGTAATATACCCATATATGGGTAATATTCACATGGTAATATACCATGGGTTTATAAGGCAATACCCATAGAGTTTTTATATTGCAATATCAAATGATATTGCAATATTTAGAAGTGAGAGTTGAAAGTCCTTATTGCTCTGTGTCCTGAATCAGATATTCCTTTAAGAAAAAAATGAAACAAACTTTGCTCATTTTGGTACAACAATGAAAATGACACTGCAGTGGTGCTTGGGAATAGTGGAAGAAACGAAAGTGAACAAAGTTTCTGCTCATGAGGAAGTGAGAACAAACTTGTATTTTTTTCAGGTTTTTTTTTTGTTTGCATGTGACATTTTTTGGTGTTGAGCATTTTTAAAAGGAAGATTTTTTTGTATCAAATCGAGATTCTTAGCTTTTCAGATGTTGTCCTTCTTAAGAACATGAGAGGGGAATACTTTTTAACATTTTGTTCTGTTGAACCACAGCAGCCTGCTTGTATTTTAATTGAGCTAATTTCAGGCTGTTGTATGACGGCCAAAATAAAACAAATATTTATCTTTTCTATATTGTCTTTGATGTCCCATGTGATTTTGTATATAAATAAATATATATATATAAATATATATATATATATATATATATATATATATATATATATATATATATATATATATATATAGGCAGTGCAACCCTATTGTGGATTATTTCTATACATAGATTTAGGATTTGTGTCAAGCCCTCTTAAATAAAGCACATACACAAGAGTCAGGATGTTGACACAACATAAATGAAGTATCACCTCGAATAGGTTGAAATGGATACTTTCTTGGAAGAACGTTTTTTTCAAAAATAATTGACAATTGAAGAGTTATTTTTCAAAATGGCTTTAAAAGAATGTCCTTGTTCCTGTTGGTTGAGGTGCACTGATGAATTGGTACATGAAAGCCTTTGGACAGTTGTCTTCCCACCTGTTCAACTGCTGTTTATGTTTAGCAATGTATGGTTGTCAGAGTAACAAGACCAACTCAGAAGTGATGTCAGGGATAACAGCTGTTTGTGATGTGCTTGTTCAAAGTGGTGGGGAAAGAAGCACATTACTTTCCCACCTTTCTCTGTACTAATGACTGTTTTAGATGAAATAACGGATTTTTACTTTTATTTAAGATAAGCAGGGTATGCAAATATAGAATAAGAAACTTTTTTATTTTTTACATAGACTTTGATGTAAGCACATTAAAATATCCCCAACATTCTGCTCTGGCATGGTATTAACTTGGTTAAGTTACTGTCACGATCACTGCATGGTAAAGGCTGAAATGTGACAATCTGGCAAAAAAAAAAAAAAGAACTAAAACAAACTGGCATAGGATTAAGTAATTACAGTAACCAACATAAAATGAACCCAGAAATCAGACAGACTTAACCAGGTTCTGCTGGAACCACAAGACCAAGGAAAAGCCCCAGATTTATTTGAATCTGGAGTTTGGATATGAATGCTCATAGACCTGAGTCAGCAAACAGAAATTCCTCCTTTTACAAAACCGCATCAAAACGGTCATCTAACCCAGAAAATGTACATTAGAACAGCAGCAGAAGAAGAGAGCAAAATAATTAACACTTAAAAAAATAAATCTTAGTAACTTAACAGGAGCAGCATAATCATTACGCTAACCAGCATGCCTGCTGAGAATTGCATAGTCATTGCTCTAAAACCCCACATATCAATGAGACAACTGCCATATTACAAACGAGGCAACTTTTTAAAAAATATATGTAATGGGATCATGTTTCTTTTCCAAGGAAGTACTAAAGAGGTGTTTTTTTTCTTTTTTTCTTTTTTCTGCATGGTATTTCACACAAATATGGTTTTGACACCTTTATCAAAACCCTTTTGAGTCACATGTTTTAGTCAGCGCCTGATGAATATGTCCTGTGCTCCATTGTTTGTAGTATTTCATTTTTTTTATTGTTTCATTTATGTATTATTTATGGGTTTTTAGATCTATTGATAACCAATTTGTACCATCAGGGAATGTAATGACATTCTTGCAACAGAAAACTGCACTTTCTCTTTCTCTTCACTCTCCCTTTTTCCACCTTGAGTTTAATCTTACCTGCTTCATCAGCATTATCCTTCTGTATTGTAATCATATTTCTGTCTCTCTCTCCCTCTCTCCTTCTTCTGTAGATCTGAGGTGAAGTAGAGCAGACCTCTCTTTCCCTGCCAACGACAGGGAATCACGACTGCAGTTCCCGACACACAAACACTTTGTACCTCCGTTATGCAGTTCTCCACTTACCTCATCTTTTTGTCAATCTTTCCCATTGCTCTCATCCCAACCTGCTTTTCCCAAAATGATGGAGACCTTGTTAATACACATAGTGGTCTAGTTCAAGGCGAGCGGCTTCCGGTGCCGGATGGAAGCTATGTCACAGCTTTCCTGGGCATCCCTTTTGCTGAGCCACCATTGGGTAAGCGTCGCTTCCGTCCTCCTGAGCCGAAGCGAAGATGGACAGGGATTTTTGAGGCTAATGCCTACCCCAACGCCTGTTACCAGTATGTGGACACGTCGTACCCAGGCTTCCAGGGCAGTGAGATGTGGAATCCTAACAGAGAGATGAGCGAGGACTGCCTGTACCTTAACATCTGGGTGCCTGCCTCGCCCAGGCCCCACAATCTCTCGGTTATGGTGTGGATCTATGGTGGAGGTTTGTGGTCACACATTTTTGCCAGAGTGTATGCTATGTGTGCTACTGCAAGTCATGTAATTACAATCACCTCCAGTATAAAACATGGATGGATGGATGGATGGATGGATAGGTGGATAGGTGGATGGATGGATGGATGGATGGATGGATAGGTGGATGGATGGGTGGATGGTGGATGGATGGATAGGTGGATGGATGGGTGGATGGGTGGATGGATGGATGGATGGATGGATGGATGGATGGATGGATGGATGGATGGATAGGTGGATGGATGTTTAAATATTGACATATAGTCTCCCTAATTATATAATATAGTCTCCCTAATTATATCTCTGGAAATTAAAGTGGAAAAAATTAACCCTGTTCATGGAACAGAAGAGAAAAATGTTTTATTCAACAGAAAAAAGTTATGTAACCTGGCTGGCTAACAGCTAGTGGTTCCTTAAGAGATCAAACATATTCAACTAGAAGTGTCTCTAGCTGTCTATCAGTCTGAGAATGAAAGCCTTCCCATTATTATGACTCGTCTACCACAGGGCACTTCTAGAGGACGCTTCAGTCCTCCAGTCTACTCTCAAGAATAGACTTTCTTCTGTGGTCGTTTATTTTAGCATTCCAGAATTGGAACCACTGAGTTGGAAAAAGCTCCACAAGCTGATAAAGAAGGGTGGTTCTGTTCTGGGGACTGCTTTAGAAACTCTTGAGAGGATGTTGCATTGATGGATGCTGCGTAAGCTGATGGACATTATTCCATCAGCTTATGCATTCAACTTATGCATTGCTTATGCAGCTGTCATTCAACAACAGGGAGTCTTCAGTCAGAGGCTATTTCAAACCTTCTGTATTCCAGACAGCTACAGAAGATCCTTCTGTAGCTGCCACGTCGTACAGCTGCAGCCATTTCATTTTAAAATAATTTACAACTTTTAGTTTCCCTTTGGAATTAGTAAAGTATTTTTTTTCCTTTACTTTTGAAATTTAAAATAATGTAATCAAAACAAAACAATCTAACTATAACTTGTAATGATTATGCCTTTTTAGGTTTCTATAGTGGCTCTTCTTCGCTGGATGTGTATGATGGCCGTTATCTTGCTCACACTGAGACGGTCATTGTGGTCTCCATGAATTACCGTATTGGAGCCTTTGGTTTCCTCGCTCTTCATGGCTCTTCCGAGGCTCCTGGAAATGTTGGCCTGCTGGACCAGAGGTTGGCATTGAAGTGGGTGCAAGAAAATATCCATTCGTTCGGTGGAAACCCCAAACAGGTGTTTTGTTTTGTTCAGTCATTGTCCATCCTCTGTATTAGTGTTAAAGATAGTTTCATAATTTTCCTGATCTTTTGGTTGTCTGTTTGTGTAAAACAGGTGACTATCTTCGGTGAGAGTGCTGGCGGTGCTTCAGTCGGGTTCCACCTACTGTCTCCAGACAGCAGACCTTTTTTCACAAGGGCCATCCTTCAGAGCGGGGTCCCCAACTGTCCGTGGGCCTCTGTCAGCCCTGCAGAGGCCAGAAGACGTGCCACACTTCTGGCAAAGCTTGTTAACTGTAATGGAGGCAACGACACTGAGCTGGTGGACTGTCTGCGCAACAAAACTCCACAGGAACTTATCGACCAAGAATGGCTGGTAATGCAGATTTAATTTGAGCTTACATTTTTCACTTGTTTTTCACAAGGCCCTTTTGAAGTTTTATTTATTGAACACACTTCACTGTGAAGTTGTAAAGATAAGGTATCATATATAATCACTAATATTATTATTTAGAGATGATTGTTACCAATTACAAAAAACTCTTAAGGTAGAAATGGTATAAAACTTAAAGTAATATCTGATGAAAAAGGGAAATATGAATCTCCATCATATTATGTCTCTCAAAAAATTTCTGAAAAATGGATGAAATATATAAAATATATTTTTAAGCACTTATAAATGACTTGCTGTACGCTGTTGAGTGTGTTATAAGGCCTCACAGAGATGAAGTAATAACTTTCATTCAGAATGACTTAAGTAATTTTATTAGACCTGCATAAAACGTAAATAAGCTAAAAAAGCAAAGGTCATACTACAATTTTCAACATTTTCTGTTTTAGCTGCAGATTATTTGCTCAATTAATGTTTTCCATTTTGGTGTAAGTCAGGACTGAGTGGTTTAAAACTGAAATTGACCATTCTTAATGTCTGACTCTAGCATAAGCACATAAGAGCTCTATACCTCTCTGTGAAGACGGTTGCTTCCTCCTTTGCTCCTCGCTCTTCCATTCACTCCCTGCTTGTTCTGTTTTTTTGTTGGTTTTTTGGAGCTTTTCTTTGCACATCCTCTGAATCTACAAATTATAGATCTGGTTAACTGGTTTCTCAATGCAATTGATCAAATTCTCTCAACGAGAAGACTGAGCAGAGGAGAGCCGTCTTGTCCTGCGGCGACACACCCTGCGGGATTCCCCCTGGATTTATTCATGATAACAGGAGTTCTGCTGTTTGGAGCTGGTGGGTACCTGGCTTATTGACAAATTTGTGACGGATTTGGCCGAGCTAGCAATCACTCAGACTGCATGTTGTGGGACTGAGACTCGCATCTCAGCAAACTGCGAGTCTTGCTGAGACTCACAGCCCAGCTGAGGACTCAAAAACCCACCAGCGGGAAGGAATCGATCTTGGAGAAGTTGCTAGCTTTGATTGAGAGGGACAGCCACAGTAATTTGGATGATTGGGATGAACTATAAGAGACATACCGGTTAAAGACTCTAGGACAGACAGAAATTTTAAGTCTGCCCAATCTAAAAAGAATGTGTTTTTCTGAATCTGGTTCCCTGTGGCCTTGGTGGCTATCTCAAATGTCCTGGAGTTCATGAAGACAAACTGCTCCTTCCCATCTCCTCAGCCCTCCCAAAGTCACTCGTGGAATCTTCTGACTGAACTCTCAAGGACTCGCTCTTGATATTTCCACCTTTATCAGATACTTGTTTGTGAGAGAATCTGCAAACATGTCATAGTTGCAGACAAACACTCCCTGATCTCAACGACTTTGCCAGCATGTCTTTGTTTTTGTCTTGCTATATGTCCCATATCCTACCCAATGTTTTCTTTTATCCTACTCATCAGTTACCTTTTAGTAATAACCTAAAAAGTACCTACGAAGATTATTTACTTATTTACTAAAAGTAATAATCTAAAAGTACTCACTTTTAACCCAGAAAAGGAATTAGATCGAACTTAGAATCCAGAAAAAAACCTTCTTCCAGAACAGGAACATTTAGTTTTTATTATTACTTAGAAACTGTGGAGTACTTTTTACTCTTACACATTAAGAGCATACTTAGAAAGTCCAAAGAATACCTGTACTTATCTAGCAACCCAGAAGTCCAGAACAGGGCTTAGAACAAACTTAGAATCCAGAAAAACTGCCTCAGCAATTTCTTTTTGGATTCCTAGTCTTCCAAACCCGAAAATGAATTAGACCAGAAATTATTAACTTTTTCTTCTTTTGCTCTTTCCTTTGGTTTATTTTGTTCGTATTTTTTTTAATTCATGTAAAGCTCTTTGAATTGCCTTTGTGCTGAAAACGTACTATACAAATAAAATTACATTACATTACAGTACAGCACACATTTTCCTGCTATACAGTTAGGTTTGACTTACTGAAGCCCCGAGACCTTCATTTGTCCGTGTGGATTAATTCTTTGGTGTTTCTGGACAGGTTCTACCATGGTCAGCTCTGTTCCGGTTCTCCTTTGTACCAGTTGTGGATGGTGATTTTCTGCCTGATACTCCAGAAGCAATGCTTAACTCAGGCAATTTTAAAGACACTCAGATTCTTCTTGGAGTCAACCAAGATGAGGGCTCTTACTTTCTGCTGTATGGAGCACCGGGATTCAGCAAGGACAATGAGAGTCTAATTTCCAAAGAAGACTTCCTGGAAGGTAAAAATGAATCAACTGAAGGGATAGAAGAATCGATAGAGAATAGAAATTCAGTTCAATATAAAGCCACCAATTAAAGTAGAACAACTTCAAAATGAAAAGCTTTGTGTTTGGGAGCAAAAATGTTTCTTACTGAAACTGACCACTGTTTCCTTGGTCTTGTCTACATTTAACTGGAGTTGGTTCTCTTTGCACCACGTCATAAAATTATCCACCAAAATCCTGTAGTCCACATCTCAGTCCTCTGACACACACCGCACTACAGCAGTGTCATCTGAGGACGTTTGCAGATGGAGCAGTTTGGAGCAGTAATTAAAGTCAGCGGTGTAGGTGGTGAACAGGAAGGCAGACAGCGCAGTTCCCTGTGGAGCTCCAATGTTACATATCTGACATGCAGCTCTGCAACCTCAAACTGCCGTCCAGCAGTCAGTCGATGATCCAAGTGAGAAAGATGTGTTCACATCCATTTTTTTTTTCAGCTTCTCACGTAAATCCTTCCTGGATTAAACTCCAAAGATGTCTTCAATCATTACTGCATCTAAATTCAATGTTTTTGGATATGTTTGCTAGTTGTATAAAAAGCCACACTTGTTTAAAAAAAGAAAAGAAAAAAAAGGAAAAAAGTTGTCTTGATCTTTCTGAAGTTCTTCTGGGGATTTTACTTCTGATCAAAGTACATCCTTCTCAGCATTTTCATTTTGATTTGCTGGTCTTCCTGGTACTTCTGCAGGGGTAGAAGCCTGAACATATATGTCTGTTGTTTTATTTCTGGAATGTACCAGATTCTGGAATAGCAGTCTGTATTTCATCCTGATTGTGAAATAGTGGACAAAATCTTTACCCTTCTTGAACTGGATAGAGGGTAGTTGCAGCCTGGTAATCCAGCTGGTATGTGAATATGGAAGATCCTTCTGTGTGAGTACTGAGTGCATACACTGCAGAGTTCAGTTGAGGAGAACCAGACATTCTCCGGACCTACAAGTAGACAAAAGCTACATTGGTTTTCTGGTAAAGAATCGTCTCGTCTTTCATTTTAATGCTTTATTGTTTTTTGTTTTTTTTTATCTGGATATGGAAATACCACTGTAAACCTCAAGTAGCAGTGAAAACTATCTCTGAGTTAAACTGATTGAAATTAAGTTTAAAATGCTGTTGTGCAACAAAAGATGGTTTGGCTATTAGCAACTATAAATATCGGCTGAGGGCAATTCTTAGCCAAACTATTCATTTAGATTAATTAGTCAGGATTATCAGGAAATGAAAGTCAATTATTGCTCAGAAATACCTTCCTGGTGAGGCTTAGACATAAAATAACAAAAGATGAAATAAGAAGTTCAACACTGATCGTCTTGAACATCAAAGTCCTGCACATGTATCTAACAAACACAATCCAATATACAGTATGCAAGTTTATTAACAAAAGGAAAGGACTTATTTATCTATTTATTTCCTGTTACTTTGCCAGGTGTACGACTGAGCGTACCACACGCAAATGATATCGGCTTGGAGGCAGTGGTGCTGCAGTACACCGACTGGATGGATGAGAATAACGGAGTGAAAAACCGCGATGCCATGGATGACATTGTTGGCGATCACAATGTAATTTGCCCACTGGCACATTTTGCTCGTTCATACGCACAGCATCACACTCTTAAGGCGAACCTGGGCATGATGAACAGTGGCGGAAACTCACAAGGTAAGTCGCATGCTAGTGTTTCTGTGCTTTGTCTGGCTCATTTTCTCATTCTAAACTTTTCTTCCCACGCATTCTAAAGGTGGCGTGTACCTCTACCTGTTTGACCACCGGGCTTCTAATTTAGCCTGGCCAGAGTGGATGGGAGTCATCCATGGCTATGAAATCGAGTTTGTCTTTGGGTTGCCACTGGAGAAGAGACTCAATTACACCACTGAAGAGAAGAATCTGAGTCGACGCATGATGAAATACTGGGCAAACTTTGCACGGACAGGGTAAGACATCAGAGACCGAATATGATTAGCCTGCTGTGATGGACACCAGTGAAAGTAGAGCAGGCCAAAGGAGACAAATCAGTTTACATTCATTAGGTCCCTTTGTTTGAAAGTAGCCTTAAGCTAGCACGACACTACAAGTAATGTTATCAACTTACTGTGCAGCAAACCTCTGTGGAGCATTTGGTAATCCTCATTTAGTGTTTAGAAAGAGAACTGAAAGGTTGTGTGAAAGATGGACGCATCACCAGCTCTAACATTTAAAACCATAACAGAATTACCTCAAAGTACAATCTAATCAAAGGCCGTTGACTCGTGCCTTCAGAAGACTTATAATGAAGTAACATTTTAACTTTCTGTGCTACTCGTCCTTAAGCATCTCATGTAAAAGAAGCCTTCCAGCACTGGGAATGTTATAGTTGTGGAATGTCCAGTTTGACAGATTTTTTAAATTTATTTATTTTTTTTTCTGCTGTCTTTGTCTGCTTCATCCTGCTACATGTTAGAAATCCTAACGACGGGCTGCTGGACACTAGGAAACGCTGGCCTTTGTTTACAGCGAATGAGCAGAAACATGTCACGCTCAACACCGACCCTCTCAAAATCCACAAAGGTTTGCGCAACCAGATGTGTGCTTTCTGGAACCGCTTCCTGCCACGCCTTCTGAACATCACAGGTAAACGGTGCTACATGTGTCACTTAAGGACTTATCGAAATGAACTTTATTTAAAAAAAAAAAAAAAAACCTGCACATTTGAAAGTGGGCTTTATTTGGATATGGACATCAATGATCATTTTTAGTCTCCAAACGTCTTTGATGTTGGAGATTTCCTATTAGAAAAGAACTAATAGGATTAACACATACGACCAACAACAGTGACAGACGAACGTTTTCCGCCTTTCTGGGTGAACTCGACACATGAGAAATGGTCACGATAAAAGCTGAACATTTTTCAGCTTTCCTGCGTCGCATCGAGCTCGATCCTGGAAAATTCACAGGATCCCCTGTGTCGTTGCAGGAGGGCAAGCAGTACTCGCCTCATCGTGCAACTTCCATAGAAAATGAATAGAGAGGGAGCAACATTGCTTTCCTGGAGTTGAGCCTTTAATAGAAGTGATAAATTATATTTCTTTCAGTTGGATTAACAGCAACTCAACTATTTAATGTCAGAACTCATTTTTATCTTACATTAAAATGTGAAGTACAAACAATAACAGTGAAAGTGTCTGCTCACAACCGACTTAAAATGCTGACCTTTGCATCTGCTGGATGCGACGAGTCTCAGCATTACAGCATTACGACATCATTTTATTGTGCCGCTCTAATCCTCCTCTCATGATCTCATATCTTCAGGCAACATCGATGAGGCAGAGCGTCAGTGGAAGGTGGAGTTTCACCGCTGGTCCTCCTACATGATGCACTGGAAGAGTCAGTTTGATCACTACAGCAAGCAGGAGCGCTGCACCGACCTCTGAGAGCCACACGCTGACCGCCGTCACGCTGTGGAGGCGGCGAAAGATAGACCACTTGTTTCATTTTGTCTCACTAACTTCGTTCCTGTTTGGTTTCTCAACACACACAAGCTCACTCTTTTTATTCTTATTTATATTATTTATATTATTTAAACTATTTATTGACGTGTTGTTTCACTGAATGTAGGTTTCTGTGTCTGTAAAGGGAAGACACTGGAGGAAACTAATCATGAAGACTAGCTGTTACCATCTGCGTGTGTATGCGTGTGTTTGCGTGTGTATGCGCGTGTGTGTATGTGTGTTTGAATTGTTTGAAAGCTCTGAGTTGAACTTGGATCCTGATCAAAGTGTGACGCCAGTCCATGGGGGGTGGGGAGGCTATCTCTCTTTTCCCTCCTCTTCACAGTATTTCATCAGAGTGAACATTTGCTTCATGACGTTTCCTTCCCTGCATCCCTGTATGTCGCCCGTTTGAGCAGTTACAAACGTGTTTTCCTTTTGTTGCAGTCTCATCATCCTATAATTTATTTTTAGTGCTTTTGACACCGCTATACTCATCGTTTGTGATTTCTTTGCTTTGTCATAGTAACCTGGGTTTTAAAGTCATACGCAGCATTACTCAACATGTCTCAGTATTTCTCTACCTGTCAGGTTTCGTTTGTTTTCTCCATCTGCACTCTTCTTCTGTCCTTCATCCCTAGCTCATTTTAACCTGTCGTCTTCCTCTCTAACTTATCATCCTCCCACTTTCTGGTTTTTCCTGTCTCTTCCTTTTGCTGTTCACTCGCTCCGCAGAAACCTTTTTCTACTCTCTCATCTCTTAGTCGCATCCTCTCTATCGTCTTTCTGAGCCTCATTTCTGATCCTTCCTTCCTTGTCCTCCTCACAGCTTTTATCACCACCCACATTTCCATCTCCCTGTGTCGTCCTCTTTTCTTGTTAGACTAATGGAGGCAGAGTAATTCACTCAGCAGAAAGATAATGTGACCGAGTGCTAGCTCAGCCTCTGGCTTGCCAGCCAGCCTGATTCGATGAATTGATGCAAAATGGAAGAGAGAGGAGGCAAGGACGGAAAGAGGGGGAAGGAAAGCGAGGTGGAGATGTGGGGGACAGAAGAAAAGCAAGCATTGCGTAATCTTTTATTTGTGTCTTTTTTTCCTCTGGCACTACGAACTGGAAATTACATCTAGTGTTTGTTACACCCTCCATTCCAGAGCTCTTTTAATCATTTTAGCTCTGGGTTGCCAACATGAATGCGAGACTGTCTGTTTGCTTTGTAGAGTCAGATTTCTCTGAGTTCTTTGTCTTTGCCTGTCCTTGGCATATAATAGTCTTTGGAGCCCCTAGTGGCCAAAGCAGCCTTTCATGACACTGACATCTGTCCCAGAGAATGAGTTCAAGTTTTTATGTTCTGAAAAATCTGGTGTTAGAGCAAAATTAGGCAGAGTTGAGTTGTGGGCACAGTCTCAGTTCTGCTCCATCACTGATCTTATCTAAAACATTATGACTTCATGATATTTACTTCCAATTATTCTCACAAATGCAGCATATTTTTAGGGAATCTAATTTAAGACCTGTAATTTAGTCCAAAACATTAGGTCAATATTTTTTAAAAGATCATTTTGTCAAAGACTGTCATTCAAACAGCTAATGGTTTTCTTTAAAAACTTCTATCTGTATGAAACCTTCACTGAGAGTGATTTTAAGAAAGTAAAACATCTGTAGTTTCATGTAGATGACAGACCAAGTTCTTCAGTCTACAACGTTTATTAATTGTCTTTTTGATAAGCCCAGGTCCTCAGAGTGACCTGTTCTGGTCTTCACTCCATCTGCTTAAATTCAAAGGAAATAGAAAATTCATTTCCTTCATTTATTTTCCTTTTCATTAGCATTTCATTAACCTCCACTTGTGAGAATAAGTGAACAGAGACAGCTTTTGAGGGTTAAGAAGAGTTATGTAAATGTTTATTTTACACAAGTGGTAAAAGAAACGTGTGCGTGTGTGTGTGTGTATGCGTGTGTGTGACGTTAAATCTCACCATCCTAATTGACAAGCACCTTTGTTGGCATGTGAAGCTCCTTTTCGTGGCTCTGACTTGTGTTGCTGGCTTTAAAAAGAAGTACATCCAAAAAAAAAAAAAAAAAAAAGATTGTACCTTGTATCTACTACCAGTAAGGACTGCATGTCAGAGGCTGTATGAGCGACAAAGTCCTCCACTCTTATTTAACGGAAAACGCTGCCTATGTACCTCTACCACTTCAATACAACTGTTGTGCATGTCCTGAAGTCTGTTATCCCCAGATTATCCTGCCAAACTCTTGACTGTTATTTGCTGTAGAATTTGTACTGCACACAAAACTATTATGCAGCTAAGTCATTTTAACATATATTGATAGCTATGTTTGATGTTAGCAATAACATAAGTAGATCAGTAAAAGAATATATTTGATATTTAAATGCAGTAAAACTAACAAACTGTATCAAGAATTGAAAATGTGTTTTTAAAGCAATATTATTGTGAGTATAACATAAGTGCCATAAACGTTTCTTCTTTTTTTTCCCTCTTTTGTTTATTCCGTTTGGATCAATGTTCTGCCTAATGGTCGTTTGTTCCTATCACTAATACTGTGAGTGCTAAAGGCTTTCATTAGCTCCATAGTACATTGCTGTGTATCATCAATGCTAACCTACTGCAACAAAAATAAAGACTCTGCAGCATCTGTCTATTTAACCCGTTCACTGAGTCACAGCAGGTGGAGCAGGGCTTTCCTGTGTACCGAACTGAAATCCGTCTGGCCCCTGAACGCCACTTAACACGTTAAAGTCAGAGAGAACCAAATGGCTTTGTACCAACACCTTAACTTCATTAAACTTAGTTCAAAAAGTAAAAACCGAAGACAGAAAGTGACTTGATAAAACTTCTCTGATAAGGTTCATCAAGCATTTGAAGGTCCTGATTTGTTTGGTCCCAATTATCCAGACTTTCTTGTTTGGGAATCATTTTATATTTGGTCTTGATTTTAACAAGAAACCAATAAAGAAAAGTTCAAATTGGGGAAGTAAGATTTCTCTTTTCATTTCTAATTGGGACGCTTCAGCATATCGGAACCATAAAAGTTGTATTTGATAAAGGTTTTTGATTTATTACAACAGTCTAACGTTGTGACAGTCGGTAATGCATGTATGCACCCTGCATTTTGCTTCACTCTACTGACTAAATTGAACAATTCAGGCAGGTGCTCATGGTTTCACTCTGTAATAGAAAAAGACGTGATATAATTTGATGGCGATGCAACTCTTCAACCTCAGATCATCATGCAACAGAAGGGAGGAGCTGATGACTTCCGCTGTATGCTTTCCGGCCAGCAGAGGTCGCCAGAATCAAACCAACGGGACATGAAAGGTCTACACGGTTTTGTCCCATCACTCCAATGTTTTCTATTACGCAGTTTGTTTATTTATGTCTCTTTGTATGTAGAAATGTATATAAATATCTGCCCATTATTTTATTGTTACTTCATTATTCAGTTTTATCTTAAACATACTGTTTATAAAAGCTCGTTGAGGGACAAGAGCTCCAAATTAGCTCATGTTAAAAGCTTCATAATGTAGGAATCTGTCTGTCTGTCTCTTACTGTGTATCTGTCACTATCAAATAAACTTATCAAAAAGCATAAACAAATTGTCTCACCGTCACTGCGCATGCGTGACTCGTGGCCTTTAAGATACATTTAAAATTATGATTCTCATTAAAATGTTTTTTTTTTCATCAGTCTCGTGCCCCTTTATTAGGGAGCCTAAACTGTATGAATCTCGTAGCTGTTAAATGTCTAAAGACAATTAGATGTTTAGTAGTTCCCCCCTGCAATCTTGAAGCCATTGAAAACTATCTCTGAGAGATTTAAGTGAATAAAAGTCACACAATTCCATTTTAGTCGGCTGCCCCAGTTGCACACAACTTCTTAGTTCTGTGTCAGCTGATCAGACTTCTTGTCTTTGTTTCCATCAATTCACACCATTCTTTCTGACTCGGAAGTTGGATTACAATTGTTCTTGTTATTTTCACACCTTTGCACTAAGCCAGGTCATAAAAAGACCAAAACATAGTTACTTTATAAAACCGGTTTAACAAAAATATACTTCAAGACATGCCTTGATAACGCCAACGCCTGGAATAGTGTTTAGTCTAGTAAAAATTATTGCATTATTAACACCTTTTTACATGTATCTACTTGATCATAGCATCTTGGAGAAATCTCAGTGTATTTATAATGTTAAATTAAACATTACTGAAAAATCTCCCAAGTGCTTGTGGGAGGACGAGACATGGGCTGATGAAAAATAAGTATTTTACAAAAACACTTTCCACTATCTATCTATCTATCTATCTATCTATCTATCTATCTATCTATCTATCTATCTATCTATCTATCTATCTATCTATCTATCTATCTATCTATCTATCTATCTATCTATCTATCTATCTATCTATCTATCTATCTATCTATCTATCTATCTATCTATCTATCTATCTATCTATCTATCTATCTATCTATCTATCTATCTATCTATCTATCTATCTATCTATCTATCTATCTATTTGCTAAAATGGAACTGCAATTATTTTGAAGGCGGCAACAGGAAGTTCCTTTTCTTCTTCTCCACTTTTGCTGTCGCCAATCTGTTTCTTTAAGATTCCTCGAACTTTTTCCCGATTTTTTTTTTTCCCAGTTTTTTTAGGGAACAGTCAGCAGAGCAGAGATTCTCCTGAAAGACGGGAACAAAAGTTGAAACCCCGACACAGCAGAGCTGAGGGTGTTTTCAGCCCGAAGAAGCTCCGTCTGGTTTTTCTCCATAGAGGACAGACGCAGTGAGGCATCCGAGGAAAGCAGAAGAAGGAGGTAAAATGGCCCGGGAGGAGCCGCGGAACAGGACGAGCTAACTCCGAGAAACTTCGTCGGCCGTGTTTTTTCCCCCTCCGGAGGACAAAAAAGGTTCGTGTGAGAGGTTCGCCGCGCGGCTTCAGGTCGGCGGTCTGTCTGTCTGTCCAGTGGTCTCCTCGGTGTCTCACAGTCTGCATGTCCTCCACTTCTGACTGATAACCGAGTAAAAAGTTTTCAACAAGCAGCGACTGTTTCCATGAAACTAATGGTAGCGCCCGTCTCTCCAGCAGTCAAATGTAAATGTAAAAGAACCTACAATAACAAAAAAAAGTGAATTTCATGTTCGGGTTATTTTTGTTTTGTAATTGTTATTTTATGATTTCATTCATTTAAATGTATAATAATACAGTATTCACTATGATTCTAATAGTGGTGGAATAAAGATGGGATTTCAGAAAAAAACAAAACATTACTTTTAAAATGTGAAGATCTGCATGTGTGCATCATCTGACACCATCTCACATTTGCTGCTGAAATGTTTCTAGTGTTTTAGTTTTTCTCTCCAAATCATGTTGACTTGCATCAAACTGTTTTCCCTGTCAAAGATGGAAGGAGAAAAGGAAAAGCAGTGGGAGCAGCAAGAGGAGAAGGAAAGCAACGAAGCAGAGGACGACACAAGAAGCGACGATGATGAAACCTGCAACGAAGTGGAGGATGGAAACTCTGAGAGGGCGGTGATGGTTTGGCAAGAGGGCAATGAGAAGGACGAACTGGGCAATCCCATCATGCACTGGGAGGCTCTGAGCCTGTGCATTGCTGAGCTGGAGAAGCAGGAGGAGGAGAAAAAGGCGAAGGTCAGGACGTCTTTCCTAACATTCGTTTTTCAGCTCTTCAGATCAATGAATTCTAAATTGTAGCTCCAAACTTGTCGACCTTCTGGCTTCCACACAACTCAAGTTGGTGCCAAAAAGGTCAGAGGTCGCATCTCTGAAGATGCTACCTTCATTTTTGATGAAAGACAGCCACCAGTGTGCTACACTGTCCTTGTTAAGGATCTATTAACATGTTTTGCGCAGCGTTGACCCCGGCAGCCGAGTCGTTCCTAAAACCATGACGAGAGATGAACTCTGTGTCACATCCAGGTTTAAATCTTAGCTTCTTCCTCTTCCTGTCGCAGTCAGACAGTGATGGCCTGTGACTCCCACATGGCGAGTTTTTTATTTATTGTTATCTGAGGAGCTTTGATGCATCACACCAGTAGTGAGTTCAGTTAATGATGTCTGGAAACCCCTCGAAATGTTATTGTTGGAAATATCTTCACGGTTTTCTCCACTGTCGGTTCCATGAGAACCTGAGTCGATATAAATATTACTATTTTCAATAATGACATCAAACACGCCCGCTGGGCGAGGTTTTGTCTCTGGGTTTTGCCATTCCATCCGTCTGGGTCCCAGACGAGCGAGCCAGATGCTTTCAGGTGTATTTAAAAAATAAATAAAAAATTTAATTCAATCTGTAGCATAAATATGTTGTTGAAAACACACAGTGACACAGTTCAGATAAATGCTATGGTCTGTTCTCAAACAGAGAACTTTGAATTTCAGTTTAATGGAGCCGTATTATCTCTGACTGATTCATCTTTCATGTTCGTTTGGAATAGCTTAATCAATATTTAATTGAGGTACAAAAAACATTGTGAATTGGGGGTTTTTCATTCCTCGTAAAATTGAAAATTAAGCAACAATTTTGATGATGCATTCAGCTTATGAAACATTGAAGGTCGATTGGCCCATTGAAGAAAAACCTACGAAAGGAATCCTTGTTTCGGGTTGAAAAAATAAGAATCCTTGATGCCAAACCGGTTTCCATTTCCCAGTTATCAAATTTAAAAATATCAAAAGTGACCTTAGAAAATAGCGTGATGAACGACTGCTGCTGTTTCCAGGCCGGAGCCTCTCTGGAGCGTGACGGGGCCCCCAGGGGCCGCACTGAGGACCGGGGCAGAACCGCCAGTAGCTGGGACGACGGCAGCGACGCCTGCAACAGCCACGTTCTGGCTTTGACATCACGGTGCGCTCGCCTGACCCACACACACACACACACACACACACACACACGCATGCACGCACACACACACACACACATATACACACACGCACGCACGCACACTCCCCCCCCCCCCACACACACACACTGCATTCAGATGTGAAACGTTACATTTCCAGCAGATGGATAAAAGGCGGATCTAATACCGTATTTTCCAAAATTTGAACTTTTAGCCATCATCACTGTTTGTCTGACTAGTTTGGTTAATATTTTTTAGACCACTCGGGGGCGGTAATGAGCAGTGAAGTTCCATTTCTAGGTGGAAAAGGGTCAATTGACCAAACTGACAGCACAGTCTAATCCCAAAGGAAGATCATTAGACACAAACTGAAGTTTGAGCAGAAGTAAAAGAAAGTTGTTGTTCCACTACTTTCTTCATGCGTAATGTTTTCCATTCTGTTCACTATCAACCTTTTTAGATGATGTTATACGGTGTTATTCAAAAAACAATTCTACTGTCTCCTTTCTGTGATATTATTTCACTTTCATACAAGGGATTTTTTCCCTCCCCATCTAAGTCTGTGTAATTTTACAGTTGAATCCATATGCAGTGTTTTTGTTATTATTGTAGAGTTCTTATCCAGAAAAAGATGGACTTTATTTTTATAAAAGAATTGGGTCTGTTTTCTGCTTCAGCCTGCACACACAGATGAATCTCCAGCTCTGCTTCATCAATAACAGTGAAAGTGAGGAGGAAGAGGATGAAGAGCCAGAGAAAGATGTGTGCAGCAAGAAGAGCAGCAGCTCCTGGGTAATAGCCTGCAGCCTGACCCGTCAGTATCAAACCAGGCCCGTTTATTTCCTCTCAGTGCTTCTGCTTATTGTCCCTCACCAACAGCAGAAGAGGACAGCATCGACTCAGAAGAACTCCAAGAACCCTTCCGTGTCCGAAGAGCCGAAGTCCAGAGGCTTCAGGAACACCCTGAGGAACCTCCGAGACCGGCTGAGAACCGACCAGAGGAAAAAGGTATCAGGACCGGTGAACTGCTGCGCAGAGGTCAGTGATGTCGAAAAGTGCAGCTGCTGTGTCTCGCATGGATGTGACAGAGCTCCATGCTGCCCTGCACCGATGAGCAGGAATATAAATATTAACATTATTTAACATTTTTTCAAGAGTTTATCAAATCAAAATCAAATCACATTTTATTTGTACATAACACATTTCAGCAACAAGGCTGTTCAAAGTGCTTTACGTCAAAAAGACACAAACATACACATAGAACACACAGTCAGCAAGTTAGTCAGTCGCCTTTGTTAAATGTTTTATTGATAATGTTTCAAAAGAAACTCCAACCAGCTGGGCTTTTCAGTCCAGATTTTAAGGAACTCAGTGTTTTGGCTGTTTTGCACTTTTCTGGAAGTTTGTCCCAGATTTGTGGTGCATAGAAGCTGAATGCTGGTTTTCCATGTTTGGTTCTGGTTCTAGATGGAGAGCAAAACCAGAACCAGGAGACCTGGGAGGTCTGGAAGGTTGAAACAACAACAGCAGATCTTTATTGCATTGTGGTGCAAAGCCTTTCAGTGATTTATAAACTAGCAGGAATTTAAAGTCTACTCTCTCAGTGAACTCCAGTTCTACTCCAGTTCTCCCAGTAGAACTGGAGTTTTAAAGTCTCGGTTCCTGTATTCCTGTTCAGTTCGACATTTTCAAATGACACATATCAAAAATAGAGCTGGATTCTCAACTACTTACTGGTTTTGAATTAGTTAAAGAAGTTAGCATGTTAGCATATCGTCATACTGTAATTGATTGATCATATTTTATGCTATTGACTAAAAAGCATAAAATATGATCTTTCTTGTTCTGTCAAAAAAATGTTGAAATGTCAGCATGATGACATTCCCAAACATACAGACTCTACCTGACACAGAGGTAACCTTCGTTTTTTATCTGTGTTTGTCTTCCAGTCAGACTTTGGTGTGTGTGTGTGTGTGGTGTGTGTGTGTGTGGTGTGTGTGTGTGTGTGTGTGTGTGTGTGTGTGTGTGTGTGTGTGTGTGTGTGTGTGTGTGTGTGTGTGTGTGCGCGTGTCGGGTAAATGTCAACATGCTGAGCTGTCTTGTGTCCTCAGACAGCCGGTTGTAGAGAAGCGGTGGCCCAGCGGACCCACCTGGAGCTCAGCGATGTGGAGCGTCTCAGTGTGGAGCAGCTGCAGGCGCTCTGTGCGTCTCTCAGACAGGACATACAAGGTGAGCCGGTGTCTGAACACCCGGCGCGGCTCCGCGGTGCTTCCACCTTCATTCCGTTTCCTCTTTTCAACAGACCTGAGCTCTGAGCTGGTGAGTCGCCTCCACATCCGGGACCAGCTGAGGACGGAGCAGGACGCCATGCTGCTGGAGGTGCAGGATCTGACCTCGCTGTGACGCGTCCCGTCTCGAGCGTCGCATCTTGATTTTTGCACAGAAACCATTTCAACAGAGAACGAGCGCGAAGCTCAGGTAGACTCAGACGTTCCCCACCGCAGTGTTCCTGTCAGTACTCTGAATGCAAACTTCCAAAGTTTGCACTGGGATAGAAGAAACCCTCGCTGCAGTCAAATCCAGCCGGGTTTGCTCGTCATCACCACTTCATCTGTCAGTTCCTTCACTGCATGAACACATGAGAGAGGCTAATCCCAGTTAGTTTCTCTCACTAACTTGCCCCTCAGGCTGTGGACGGTGGCTTTTGGAAATGTTTTAACTCAGAATGTAAGAAGATCAGGAGCTCCAGTCAGAGGCAGCTGGACTTCTTCTCTTGTTTCCTGATGACGTTTGGCGTCTCGTCTTCACTGCTTCTTTGGTTCTGAACATGTTTGAAGCAGACCTGTCACAATAAGCAATAAATCAATTAATCGCATGATAAATGAAAAGAAACTCAAAACTTTTCATCTACTTGATTTATCTCTTTTTTTTCTTTTGAAAGAATTTTGTTTACACAGACTTCATGTTTCTTTTTATTTATTTTGAATATTTCAAATGTCTTCCATTTCCAGTCTTGAAAGTTTATTGATTAGTTAGAATGTGTTCTTGCCATTATTGTGCCACTGTTGCTGTCATATTACTTGAAACTAACTCAAAACAACAATATTATCATTTTAGCGCAATAAGTTCTGGAACAATATATCGTGATTGTAAAATCTGTTATCGTGACAGGCCAGTTGGAAGTAAGAGTCTTTTAAACACCTTCAGAACCAAAGAGGTTTTTTCGATCTTCAGGAAACAGGAGAAGTCCACTTGCTTTCTACTCAACCGTGTTCTACATGTTCTAGATCGACACCCGCAAATAACAGTTCCTGTTTGCTGAGGACGTGAGGAAAGCTTAGATTGGATAATAAGGTTTGATTCATTTCATTCAGTCCTTTCAAACAAAAAAAACCCAGTTTCTCTGCCGTCGTGGCGCTCCGCTCTAACTGACCCAGAGGTCACGCCTTCTGTCAACTTAGAATTAAAATGTTTACAACAAAAATGACAATCGGATACTCATACTTAAAATTTGCTGTAGTGTTTTTGTTTTATACCAGCATCCACATAATTTTTCTGGAACAAGAACCAGCTCATGTGGGTCTACATCAGTTCTATATATATATTTTTAATTTAACATAAGTTTTCTTATTGGGACAGCAATAAAAGAACTAACACTAAACTCAGGAGCATCGATCTTTCCATCCCACCTAAACTCCTGTGGCTTATTGTTAAATAAATGATGTGAAAGTGATAATGTGATACTTTTTTAGGACATTTTGTTAATTTAATTGTCACTAAAATCCAAAATGAGCTTGAAGTGAAATACAAACTGGGGCTTCAGTAGGGAATCAGTATCTTTCATAAGGGATTTTTAGCCTTTCAGTTTTTGTAAACTCAAAGCTGAACAAGCATGTTGGAGCATCTTGGTCACAGACCCAGAGGTTGTCGGATCAAACCCCGCTCAGGCCACAGGCTGTATATGGTAGTCTCAACTCGGTTGAGTCAGTCAAAAGTTTACATACAAGAAGCTCAGTTCATTTTGTTGTTGTTGTTTTTTTTACTAAAGTAATCTGTGTCACTAAACTTTCACCAGTTGTGTAATTTCATCATGAACCTGTTTTGTTCAACTATGAGCTTTTTAAAGATCTCATGTATGGTCTGTCATATATTATCTACACTGATCATTTTTTGTATATGTATTAAAAAAAACGTAACATTAAAGAACATAAACATGAGCCTTTTTTTCGGTTTATTTAATTTAGCAAATTTCTAAGAGAATTTGATCTTTCAGCTGTAGAAATGAGTTTCTATAGCCGACCATGTTATGCTGTCTGCTCACGTTCACACACACACACACACACACACACACACACACACACACACACACACACACACACACACACACACACACACACACACACACACACACACACACACACACACGTCGCTAGGCAGCTCGGGGCCAGCTTCCCTGCTCAGGGGCAAGTCGACGTCAAACCCACAACCTTCCGCATCCAAGACGACTACAGACTGAGCAACGATAACTTACATCAGAATTTCTTTTTTACCACAGATGAAAGATATATTTGTAGTTTTAAAATAAACTTGAGGGGCGTTTAGGACCTTTTTTCTGGAACTACAGTATATCTAGATATTTATAGTTTCTGGGTTTTTCTTGAACATAATTAGTAAACTATTCATCATAACGAGCTGAACCAGAGCAGGTAGAGACAACGCGGCCTCTCCAAGGTGAAGTGTGGAAGAAGAACTGGACGACACGCACTGAAGCACAGAGGGAGGGACTGGGTCACCATGGAAACCACTCTTGACTGTTCGGAGAAGCAGCAAATCGAGGCGAAAGCTGAAGTGGTCCAACCGGGTGAACGTCTGCTGATTCCTGCTGGCGTTCTGCCTGAAGGAGGTCCGTTTCGGTTCTGCTTGGTGTTGAACTCTTAAGAATTTGGATTTTTTTTTTTTGTACATCTTGGGAGCTGATGAGCAACAGACGGACCTGGAGCTGTAGGGTCAACTTCCTCCTGAGATCAGGTAGGCAGATTGTAGCAATCAACTTGTTCAGAGTGTGATGGAGCTTCCTTGGCCTAACGCTGAGTGACTGGCTGCCATGCAGGGATGTCAGTGTTTATTTGTGCATCACAGCATTGGCTGAAGCAGTGGAAGTTATTTTTCAGCAAAAAAAAAAAAAAAAAAAACTCATAAAATATTTTGAAGCACTATAACGCTAGAAAAAGTTTACTGTTTGTATTTGGCTTTTATTATTTTATCATTTAAAAACATGCGACTGGTTTAGAGTTACAGAAACTCTCACTCTGTGTGTGGTTGCTGCGGTTACCAAGTCCTATAAAATGAAGTTTTATAGGATGTAACTTCAAACCAGCATTAGACACAAGCTGCCCTTCAGAGACGAGTGTTTTTTTCCCAGTTCAAGGTCCGGAGGCGTTCAGGATGACCTGAAGCTCGGCGGCCATGTTGCCAGATCAACAGGCTCTGCAGCCTCTTCACTTATGATACATTATGCACTGAAACGGCTGAACAAAAATAGATCTGCATGAGGGGCGGAAAGAACTCACTGAAACATTGAAGACTGAACTTGTCTTATTCTTTGTTGGACAAACTGATCAGCACACTGAATGGAAAATGTTGTAGTTTGTAATGAACTTTATTTTCTATTCATGACGTTCTATTGGTACTGTACAAATTAGTATTACTGTTCTACATCACATATATAAATACTCATACATACGACTGAATCCTGTTCGGATTAAATTGTCTGACTTGTCAAATATCTCAACATGTGTCTTGACATGACATTTAACTTTAATTGTGACAGGAAACAATCCCGTGGGCGAAAAAAATGACCTGTGTACGGAGGATGCATGGCGAGACCATGTGGTCAGGTGTGGTTACTTATTGCTGAATTAATGAGGTAGAAGGGACTGAATCAGCAACATACCCTTGTGCACAGGAAGGCAAACATTCACTCTGAATCAGCAGCGTGCGACAGGAGGTGAAACAAACGGAGCACAGACCCAACGATGGAGAGCAGGGAGGGTGTTGGAAACCACCGGCTCCTTCCATTTGTCATAAAGAAGTCATAATGTCCTCCGTTCAGACCGTTACTCACAATCTCCAAGCTGTGTTGGATTCAGTCTCCCCTTCATTATAAATTCAGACAGAAGTATTCTAGAAAGGTGCATACAGTCTCCCAGCTTCTGGTCCACAAAATACCACAGGAAGAGTTTTATTCAAATTAACACAGGAAAAGTTTTATTGAAATAACATCAAAAGAGGCGTGTGACCCGTCTGCAGGTCGAGGTTTTAGGCGTTACCAATAAAGGGGCATTATTATGTGTTATCCAGGCTCATTTTGTAGCGAGGCTCTTTTTGTAGCATAACTAAGTAACTATGTTACCGTCAGCTGTGTCAAATATGACTGAAAATATTTTGACTTTTGTAATTTAACACCTTGAAATTGGGCCTGTCTCTTTAAAAACTCCTGCTCTTTCAGAAAGTCCAGCTTCAGGAATGACCAGGCCGTCACAATTTGACATTTATTTATTTATTTATTTTTGTAATTATGTCTGTTTTGCACCAGCAGTCTAGAAAATTCCACTTTCTAGAATAAAAGTCTCTGAAATCAAAGTGAAAATGTTTTGGTCACATGTTTTGGCAGGCTTCAGTGTGTTTGTCCTCGTTTTGCTCAGTGGTGTTTCTGATCTTTGAACTCTCCTGTTGATGCAATTTCTTTCCAGTTGGCTTCTCATTGTTATATCATGACCTCTGACCTTAACTGAGGCTTGTGAGGCATGCTGCTTTTTTGGGGTTTGACCGTTTGGATAAATCTTCAACGTACCTTTGGACTAATTTTCTTAGGTTGGCTTCTCCTATGCAGGGTAATCGATAGTCCATGTTTTCCCATTTGGAGGATAACAAATGTGGTTCACTGGAGTCTGAAGAAATAGTTTTGAAACTCTTTCCACACTGAAAGAGTTATCAGTTGTTAGTTTGTTAGATTGCTGTGTTAGATGTTTTGCTGCTTTCGATATTTTTGTTGATTTCATGTCGGCAATTTCTACTCGATTGATGGTTTGATTTTCCGCGTCTTGGAGGACGTGTGGCGAGTGAAACTGAACAAAAGATGACTCGGTTCAATACTTTGAATGATTAATTGATAATTGAGCTTATTGCTCTCTTTGATATCTAGGATTAACTGCAATGTATGTTTGCTTGATGGGAATTGACCTCAATTCATGACAAACGAGATTTTCAACATGACCAGGTTGGTTTGGAATATAATAATTAATAAATTAATAAGAAATGACCATTGGAAAACTGATCTAGGCATTTACTCAGGCTATGTGTGGCTCATATAAAAAATTATTTGCTAATTAAGGAAACATTTAAATGTAACAAAAAAGTAAAAAAATAGTGAAAGAGGGCAAACAGAAACACTCCCCCCTGCCAATTGTTCACACAATAGAGCCGTGTTGGGAGTCAAAAGGGTTCATGCATGCAGTACTGTAATCCAACATGCACAATATCTTAATGGCAGCAGAACTCATAAAAGCTTTTACTTTGTTTTACATTAAACAACAAAACAAATATAAAGATATCAGCAGGTATATCCTGCGGTAATGGATGTCTGGAACTGTGCTAATACAGTTCACATGACGAACGCCTTAACGCACACACCAATAAAAGACTTTCAAATATGAAAAACACTCTGTGATGATGTACTGCACTTCGAGTGAAAACATTAAAATGCTGGTGTTCATCTTTCACAGCAGGGTGCCATCAGTTACCGTCCACCAACTTTTAGAACCGTCTCTTCTCCATCACACCTGAATCAAATGAACGGCTGATCACCGGCTGATGGTTGACCTCATCTGGACGTGGGCACCTCTAGTTTAGAGTAACTTTGTCAAAGTCCAAAAGAATAAATGCATTTACTTTCATGTAAGAATAATACCATCCTAGGCACCTTTTCTATCCTACAGTTTTTATGGTTCCATTCAAGCATTTCTTTTTTAGAAAGTTTTCCTTTGACTATTTTTGATTTTTAATGTATAAATATACAAACTGATGAGTCCCATTCCTTTGACACACAATGTTGTCTTATGCAGCAAAGTCCCAAATCTTGTTTTTACTGAGGTTCATTAGTTTTAGTATTTGGTCTTATTGATTAATGTTGAAAAATATGTGCTGGTACGCACAACACACACCTCCATTGTGCTATATAATCTTACAGACACCAGTGTGCAACTGCTGACTGTGCTTAAATGTTATTCTGTGCTACTTACTACTGTCTCAATAAAGGTTTTCTTAAGGTTGGATTCAGACACAATAAATAATAAATGCAAAAATAATATACAAACATTTGCTGGTAAATGACAGTGGTCTGTTTGTTTGAGTTACAGCAGTAACCCATCCCTTGGCACGATGCCCACTGATACTTTACCACACCGCTCTAGTTTTAGTTGGAAAACAAAAAAAGGTGGAAGTAACGTTTCAGGTCATGTGTTTTTGTTCACTGGGTTTTGCTGCTGACATGGAAAGTTCTGTCACATGAGTTGAGGAGGAAAGAAGCACGACACACAGAGCTCATCGGTCACCTGTGACGCACTAACACCGATCAAAGGTGACGGTTCTCCATCTTTGTTTCTAGGTCGGCAGCAGTTCACTGACATGGGCATCCACATCCAAGATGGCGCGCAGATGTGAAAGCTGCAGACGAGTCTTCTGATGGATTCCTGAAGATGAGCTAACTTAGCTTCATCCCACCCATGTTTCCAGACATCAGCGCCACTATGCTCCAGGATACCCTCAGCTCCGTGTCTCCTTCCACTTCCCCCACGACTCCTCCAGCTTCACCCTGCAGTATTAATGAATCGTATAAGTACATCTTCCTCCCCATTTGTTACTCGTTTACCTTCATATTTAGCATTACTTTGAATTTTATCATTCTCCACCGTTCCTTCCGTCAAGCCAAGCGCTGGAATGCTTCCCTCATATACATGGTCAACCTGGCCTCCACAGACTTTATGTATGGACTGTCTTTGCCATTTCTCGTGGCGAGTTACATAATGCGTGACCGCTGGGTGTTTGGGGACTTCATGTGCCGCCTGGTCCGCTTCCTCTTCTACTTCAACCTCTATTGCTCCATCTTCTTCCTCACTTGCATTTCTGTTCACAGATACCTGGGTATCTGCCACCCGATAAAAGTCATCACCCTGGAGACCAAAAGAGCTGTCAAGAACACTTGTGTGTTGGTGTGGATCGTAGTGTTCGCTTTGACTTGCCCTATTTTCCGGTTTGCCCAGACAGGCTATGTGACCAGAGCGGCAGGATCGTGGACCAATGCAAGTACAACTATTTACAACAAGAGTCACAACATGCCATCATTGAAGGAAAACGTCAGCTATAATAGCCTGGGATTGCCCCATGAGGAATACCAGAACTGTTGGGACGATGCCATAGACAAAGAATTTCTTGACTATATACCCTACGGGATTATTCTACATTTAATTGGCTTTTTTTTACCTTTTTCCATAATTGCTTGGTGTTACTCTCGTGTAGTCCTCACCATATTTAAGACCCTGCATTCCCAACCCTCATCCCGCAAAGGACCCAGAAATAGTGATAGCAAGGATGTGGAGCGAAGAGGCCGAAGTGGCTCTGCAGCAGGCGGGAGACGAAACAACGGCTTGTTAAGGGGGATGGAAAAGGATGAAGAGGTTTCTGTTTTTCTTGGAGCCCGTTCTCCGTACGCGAGCCGCAGGCGTAAATCCATCAGGACCATCATCACCATTACGCTGCTCTTTGCTTTGTGTTTTTTCCCCTTCCATGTGACCAGAACCATCTTTCTGCTGCTGAAAGTCACCGGGAAAATTCCCTGTGAAACCATGACCACGGTGTCGATGTGCTACAAGGTGACACGGCCGCTGGCATCCTTCAACGCGTGGCTGAATGCTCTTCTATATTTTCTGACCAAAGACAAGGTGGGAGCTCACTGCTGTCCAGCAGGGAGGACGAAAAGCCCACAGCAGCCCGAGCCGCTGCTGCCGCTGAGGATGATGGGAAAAGGAGACGGTCCAGTGGACGAAACCATGGGAGACCAGATCAACGACGAGGAAAAGAAAGAATTTCACCACCTATCATACACAAAAAAAAAATTGATTAAAAAAAACACTGAAGGACAGATAGATAAGTAGTTTGGTTGATTGAATGAAATAGTGCCAAAACTTTTAACACTAAGACCGTATGTCGTCTATTGCTAAATGACGTTGATGATGGTATAAATTACACAAATAATAAATTTCAAAACATGCTGTTTGTCATCACGTAGCTCAACTTTGAACTTATTTACATTTGTATGATATGTACGCTAGTATGGAAGCTGCAGTTTGAGTGAACATTTAAAGAGAGCAGGAATATTAAACTGGTCTCACCTTTATCAGCCCTTAGGTGGAGGATTTTAAAAAGAATTATTTCATCGAACGATCATCTGGAAATAAGTTACTGATGGGACATAACAGCTCCAAAAAAATCCGCCGCTCTTTTAGATGCAGATAAGACTGTAGAGAAATATAACTGTATTTACTGTCTTTCCATTCATGCATAGGAGATGAGCAAACACACCAGGCAAATCACGTTTATTTGCCTGGAAATTCAAAGTGCTGCGCAGCAAGAACAACGGAAAAGACATTGGGAAAAAAAAAGATACTTAAAATGACAGACGGAGTATCACGAGTTAAAAGTTAAACTGAAATTAAACAAATAAAAATCTGAGACAAGACAGCAGCAGCAAATCAATCTTTGCTTACAATTATAAACGATGATGTTTTCAGCACTGATTTAAACACTTTCTGATCATCTCAGGCTTTGCTGGGATTCCAGTAAATGTATATTTCCTGTTAGTCGTTCAGCCTGAATCAGCTGGCTGATTGTTTTTTCTTCTTCTTCTTTATAGAGATCTGGATAGAATCTAATTTATTCAAAATGTCTTCTGTGTCGTCCTTCTGGTGAAAAACTATTTAGTCTTGCGATAGCAGACAACAGGGTGTTTTACTGACAGACCTTCTTTAGTTGTTGCAGTTCAGGATCCATGATGTGTTTTTTCTCGCTCTCTGGTCTTTAGCTCCATTTCTCCACTTTGATTTCTAATCTTGTCTTTTTGAATCCAAAAAACTTCAGATTTTTTCCGCTGTGTTTGTATTCCTTTGTTTTCTTTTATCAAGCTGGACAAAATGTCATCTCATCCACTAATGGACATTTTGTTTCTAAATTTAAACAATTTGTGCTAAGTGTGGATTAATCAAACAAGGGTTGTTTGGTAAATTGTTTTGGCTTGATTTTTGTCTATTTAGCCAACAGTTATTAAGAGACTAAATATGTAAAACTTCTTATTTGACTGAAGCCTTCTTCTCTGCATATTTACTCTGACAAACACAAACTGCAGGTTGTTGGAACGTATGAGACATTTATCTGTTTTATCTGCTCTATTTTTTGTTTGTGCAATATCTTGGTAAATTTGGTCACATTTTAACTTTCTCACTTTGACTTAAGAAATCTTTGTGATTTTCCTATCTTTGTGATTTTCATATCTCATTGTTTGTGGAACAGATGTTGAGCACCAGGTCCGACACAAACCCTCACAAACAGATTATCAAAATGTTTGGCACTTGAAATGTTCCATTTTAGTTGAAACTGCCTGACTAATGAAATGTTGTTGTGCTCGAAGCTCATTTCTGTCTCAGAAACAATTATTCACGTTGTCTTTTTGTCCATTTTTCACGTTGCAGCTGGTCGGTGAAAGAGCTGATGGATTATCGGTGCCAACATAAACACTGACTTGCAAATGAACTTCACAAGCCTTGAAGATTTGAACATAATGATCACAAACTACAGTCATATTCAGTATATGAATATGACAGTCATATATTCAGTATATGACTGTAGTTTGTATTACATGTCCCAATGAGGCTCGTTTGTCAGTTTAAAACTTTTAATCTGGTATTAAACAGGCTTCTATTTTCTGTCGCCCACATTTCTGTATTCAACTATTTTGTATTGCTCTAATTTTACATATGTTTTCTATAATGATGTTTTCTTTATCTGTAAGTGGAAAATCATCATAATTAACAGAAATAAAGGCTTGAAAACAGTGTTCTTTGTTTAATTAATCTATGTGACGTTTCAGTTAGTGAACTTTACTGAAACAGCTTTTCAAAAACGACCAATTTATAAAATGCATCTGTATCTGGAACTGAAAAAAATACCATGTTTTATTTTGTGGCAGTGGTAAAACAATATTCATGGTGTCGGCATGGCGACGTTTTGGTTCACGTCAAAATCGGTGGAGCGTTATGAGACGTTTCTCCCTGTGGTCTGAGACCAGCACTCGCATCTCTCTGACAGCCAGCCTCTTTTCCGCCGAGCTTCACTTGTGAAAAAATTACATGAAAAAATACATGAGAGTCAGACACACACTGAGCACAGGGACCAGTCTGTTGTCTACTGATGCAGCTCCATCACTTTGCTTTTTGCACACGCTCCTGAAATAACCGGGCACCTTTTTGTCCTTCCAGTAGCTGAAGAATCTCCCATTGCACATCTCTGGCATTTAAAGTAGACTTCTGACACACAGAGCCTCCTCTGAGAGACACTTTATTCATCTTTCACTGTCCCTGTTCGTCCAGATGTTTCACCATCTGTTCTGTTCTTTCAGGGTGGCAGAGTGTTAGAGTGGCTCTAAACTTTCATTGAGATTTTTTTTCTCTTTCAAAATTTCATTCCTGCCTTTTTGGAGGAGAGCTGCTTTTTTGGGGGGGACAAGTGTTCCTTCTTGTTTGGATTCTGTGTAGTTGGATTGATTCTGGGATAATATTTTGCATATCTTTTCTGTTTTTTTTTTTATGATGATGCTTAACCAGGTGGTTTATGCATCTAATCTGCAGCTGATTAACACAGGAAAAGCTGCAATAAAACCACAAGTGAAGTCAACAATCACAGACAAGCAGAAAAGGAGGCAGAACAGGAGCAAAGAGGAGAGAGAGGAGGAATGGGTTCCATGATTCCATGTGTCAGCAAAACAAGTTAACAGCTGACATGAAGAAGATGCCGGTTTGCTCTTCAGCAGAATTAATCCACAGCAGCTCAACTATAGGAATAGTTCAGGATAAACTAAACCAGTCCACCCATAAGCTTTATCAAAAAGGAAAGTTTTAAGCTTTGCTGGTTCCACTGCAGAGGAACCTGAAGAGAATCTCCCATTCTACTTTTAGCGATTCAATAAATTAGAAATGTATTGAAATTGAATGTTATTTGAGTCACTCAGTTCATCGAGTGCAGCATGTCATGTAGGTTCATTCCACACAGGCCGATTTTTGTTGCCTTTATTTTTTGTTAATTACAACAACTTTCTGATTATAGATCAATGAAAACATTTAAGTTTCAAATATTTTATCAGATCAATAAAATCATTGCAGTATAGTTATGTGCACTTAATAAAAAAAAGGTTGATTACATGTTTAAAGTATGTAAAGTAAAGTAGGTTCTTTTCAAAAGGTATTTTTATACATTGGGAGGCATAACATATTGAATATGACTCAATATATTTGGTCGTCTTTGTTCCCTGTTTTGATAAACTGTCAGACACCAGAGAAACATGTAAGTTATTCCCAGAACATTGTTAAGCGTTCACATGTATGCTTTGCTTGGTTATGACCCAAACACAGCATCGTTTCTTGGTTCATAATTATGGATTCTTTAAAAATGTTGCAATAGTTTTAATAGAACCTCTCAGTCATGCTAATAACTTAGCATAAAGCTTAGATCTTTGGGTTAAATAAACCTATTGCCATGTTTGATGAGATCCATCAGCATCCTTTACTGCATCAGACAGACGGTCAGGAAATAAAGCACTTCTCAAGATAGACAAAGGAAGTGGAGTGCTGATTACATTGGATGCGTTTCTAGATGGTGATGCTGTTTTCTACGCGGCTGGGCAGAAGGACCAGGTACTGGAGGTCCAGTCCTGTGTTCTGATCCAGGATCTGGTCCTCAATCTCCTTCAGCTTCATCCGAAACTTTTCAATCGCTTCCAGGGCCGGAGCCTCGGTGAAGTGTTGCTGTGTGTACTGGCCCAAAGGAATCTGGGCGAAAAAACAAACAGCAAGCAGTTAAAAAGAAGCGCTTTCGATTCACTGAATACCGAATAAAACAGTAAAGACTATTATGACAACGTGACGTTAACCAAGAAATCATGATCTGACATGAATTTGTTATATTACTGATTAGACTTTAGCTTTAATGACATAAAGCTACATATTTTTTAAAGTTTAATCAGTGATACTTTTAATTTCTCAGACAGTCAATATTTACATTTTTGTAGTGATTTAAAATGCTCTTAAGTCCTCGTTTTTTCCAACTGACTGTACGATGAGTAAAATCACAGACTCACTGCGTCTGGCTGTGCTCGTCCCAGATGCCAGGTGATCGCCATCTGCACACAGGACTGGCCCACATCAGGAAGCGAGGCCATGATCATTTCCATGTTAACAGCGTCTTTATCTGACGGTGGGGGGAGCCTCATGGTGCATGGGGTGTTGGGAACCCAGGCACACCAGTCAAACTGAAAACAACAGAACACTGGCTGTAGTGGAGGCTCTGGACAGAACAGCGCCTCCTTCAGGTTCAATCCATCAGCAAGACATTTTGAAGCTGTAATTTAGTCGGTTTGGTCGTTTCAGAGCTTTTTGAGTGATTTCCTTGTTGGTACCTGTCCATTGTTAGTTGCGGCATGTTGAGCTGTGCTCGTGAAGATGACCACAGCCAGTAGAGTGGACAGTTCCTCTTTGCTGCAGAGTTTATTTGACAGGCCTGAAAAAAAAATTAACACAACAAAGAGGACAAAAAGTAATTTCTGTAACATCTCATCTAGTCTTCACCTCTCCAATGACATATTCAGAAACACCTCTCTCGTGAAATCATGTCGTGAGCTTTGGGACTGTCAGAGTGTTTTCACACCTGATGTGTCTGGCAGACTGTCAGTAAACACTCTTAGGTCTCAGGACATGAATGAATGAATGCATGAATGAATGAATGAATGAATTAATTAATGAATGAATGAATGAATGAATGAATGAATGAATGAATGGTTGTTTTCTGTGTTTCTGTATTGCCTTGTCTCACTCAGTGGCAGCTGGAGTTA